GGATGTTTTCACACCGCTGCGCTGGTGAGTCACGGGCCCTGCAGCGGTTGGTGCCGAAGTGCGATCGGACGGAGGCCCCTTCGTACCCCCGCTCGTGCTTGCAAAACTGTGCTCGCTCTGCTATTATTTTGCCATGCTAAGCTACATCAGATGTATAGCGTATATCTCACACCCGTCAAAAGGTAAAAGACATTGCAGGAAGGGTCACTCCCGGAATAAGAAGCGTGAAACCCGAAATTCCACATATATGAAATGCAAGAAAACAGCTGGCCAGGCACAGAATGCAAAACAAAACTGCGCGGTGTGTAGCTTCACTCACTGAAACTCGCCTTGTCTTTGTGACCCCTCGGCGACTTTGTCTTGTTGTGTTGCGTACTGGGTTCGTCCATCTCGATGGTGATTTCGCCTGCTCGCTTGAACCCATTCATTTTGTGGCAGAACCGCCACTGGTCGCCCTTCAAGCAGTAGGTAATCATACTCTGTACTCCCACTGTCCGCTGCCGAACCTTCTGGTACTTGTAGTCATTGTTCTTGTTGTTGCTGATCGTCTCCTTCTCCACAGTCTTCTCGAACTTGTCGGTTGATTCCGTCTGAATCTGAACCGTGGTATCGCCCTGCTGGTCCACGAACTTTAGTAGCAAGTGGTACGCCACTGGAATAGCTATTAGCATGGCAAACATCATGAAAAACAATGCGTTCCGAGCACCTCCAGAGAACCACGAACACTTCACAATTTCGCCGTAGTAGTACTTGTACTCGGTGTTGTAGTCGAATTTCTCTGCGTAGGTTGTTACGGACTTGCAACAAGACGTTGCAAAGACTGCTAATTGCATGAGTGATGATCTGGCTGACCTCGAAGTTGATGATGTCTCCTGTCTGTTCCTCTCGATGATATCCTGCCTCTCTTCTTGTGTCTTTTTCTTGACCGCCGTGTAAGTAGGATCGTGTTGAAGTTGTAGCCGTCCTGCCCGAAGCCTGTCTGCGAATGGCTGTCGTGCTGCCAACTTCGTGAGTCCGTCCGCGTACTGACGCTCTGAAGAAACCCATTTCCACGGTGTCTTAGTAGCGTCCATTCGCTCTCGCAGTGCTAGAACTTCGATACCGGTACGCTTGTCCTGGAAGCTGGTGATGTCTTCTTCCTTGGCTGCGTCGTACAGCGCCTTGGCGTTGATCGCGAGTGCTGATTCCACTGCGTAGTGGGTGGTATTGTCGTTGTTGATGTCCACGTTGTCGTAGATGAGGGCCGCCCAGAACCGTTTCGCGAACTCCAGTGCGTCCATTCCTGCTGCCGCTGCTTGAGATTCTGCACGAATTGAAGATCTCGCCAGCCTTGCAAGCTTGGAAGACTTCGAATCGACAACACTGAAATCCGAATCCTCGTCATTGAGAGCTTTAGAATGACACTCCATAATGTCGGAACCTCCTTGATTAGATTTGTCTTGACGTACTCCCCAAGCTGCGTCCGTCATAGCTACTAGCGCCATGTCGTTGACCTTCCCGATCTTCTTCATCTTTGGCCCTACGTCTGCACTCTGCTTGTATAACCTGCGCGTCTTGTTCACTTTCCTTGCCGCCACCGCAATTGCCGCGGGAAGTTGCCATTGGTGAATGCTGACCGATGCTGACGCGCGTGGGCACGCCTGGAAACTTGGCCACTGAAGCGCTCCAAGTAGTCCTCGAAGTTGGCGAATCTCCTTCGCTGGAAGTACGACTACATCTTAATGTTGATCTCGGTGCTGTTGGACTGCTTGTTGCTCCGGTGAGTCGCCTGCCGCAGGTCCGACCCGCAGTGCTCTATTCTGTCGTCCTCGATCTACTTCCTCGACTTGAACTTGCTCTTGATTGCCTCGATGATGACGCTGCAGTTGCTCCCGGGCCGGCGGTCGCCTCCTCTAAGCATATCGCCCACGTGCAGTCGGATGAAGCCGTCGCAGTTGCCGTTTTTGTCGTAGCTCACGAACAGACGCGGATCCAGTGGGCGCTGCTTGAGGCCGCTGGCTTTGAGGTCGTCGACTGCTCGCTGCCACCGCCGTCTCGTTGCGCCCACTTGTCCGTGCATGGCCATGATCAGCTTCATCAGCGTGTCCAGCTCGATGCCCATGAGGTCCACTGCGTCTCGAGGTATTTCCGCGTAGAGGTACTCGCTCTTGAGGTCGCCCTTTTAAAAAACGCTGTAGCCGCGTCCGCTGTCCAAAGTCTCCATCCGTTGTTCGCCGCCAGTAGCATAGCCAACTGACGTCCTAAGATTGATGCTGTAGGTGATGCTGCAAAGGCCTTCCTGTCGAGTGCGTCCGGGTCGTCGAAGCCTTGGAGTGCCAGTCGCGCCCTGGCCCCTGGCCCTCGGGTGCCATTGCCGTTCTTGCTCCACTTCAGTGCCCATTTGGCCTTCAGGATGCGCTTTGGGTCCTCGTCTCCAGTCGGCTCGTGGAAACTCAGAGACCTCGCTGCCGATGAACTTCTCGAGTTCCCTCCTCGTAGCTTTCCCTCCATAAACGCAGCTCCATCGTGAGGCGTCGTGCTCCTGGTTCTGACCTCAGCGTAGATGTCGTTCAACTTCGCGCCCTTGCCGTCGAACTCCCACCCAAACAGCAGGTCTTCGTCCTCTAGCATTAGCTGCGTGGCCCCATGCTCGTCGTCGGCGCTGTCGGCGCCCACTGGTTGAGATGCTGCTGTCGGGTCTGGCATCAGTGGTCGTCGGTGGACTCCTCCTTCAGGTCGGGTGAATATAGAGGCTTCGGCCGCGTCCAATCGCCTGCGACTCTCCTTTAGATTCGAATTCGCCACGACAGACGTGGGCGCCGGTGTCGTCGATCCTGTGGATGCCGATGTTGCTGGACCCAACGTCGCAGGAGTCGGTGCCGGTGGTAGCGATTGCGCTGTGGTTGGTAGAGGTGGTGGCGGCTGCTCTGGCGGCGTTGTCAGCTCGGCTGGCGCCGTAGTAGGCATCGGTTCATGGCCCGGTTTGGGGAGAAATGGAGACAGCGATCGCGTCGCGAAGCGCAACGTGGAGAGCCCTGGAAGCCCTTCGCCAAGCGCCTCGTCCTCGCTGGCATCCGCATCTCCTCTGGCGCCACCTGCCGTACCGGCGCCGATCCCATGGCGATGCAGTCGGCCATGCAATCGCCCTGGAGCAAGGTCTTCGCCGCTAAGGTGGTCGACGTACAAGCAATGGAAAGTTACCTCAGAGGCGTCTTCCCACAGCGCCCGTCCCTCGACATCCAGCTCCGCAGCAGCGAGGACCCGCGCGCCGCCGCGCGTCTGGCGTGCGACTCCGCGCCCAGACCCGACGGCCCCCCGTTCCGTGCATGGCTTCTCTCGCATGGCAGCCCGGGCGCGCTTGCAGACCTTCCGCAGCGCATGGCGCTCGGCCGCGCGAGCCCCTACGACCTGAACTACGCCATGATGGCCATGCTCTCGAAGGGCGACGAGCCCCTCGGCAACTTCGAGTGCACGCGGGCCCCCGACTGCCCCTGCCTCCTCGCCACGAAGAACAGGGACGTGAAATTGATTGCGTCTGCGACCAATCGCAAGCTTCACCGCGCGGCTGCCATGACCACCGACGAGCAGCAGGGCTTCGTCAACGGCTGACATTTTCTGAACAATATCGCCCTGGTCGACTCGATCGCCCGCCAGCTCAGCATTGGCGAGCACGCCGAGCAGCTGCAGTGCTTCGACAGCATGGACATCGCCGCCGCCTTCCCCGGCTTTCTTCATGAGTGGCTTTGGGCTGTGTGACGCCGCTGGGGGCTACGCGGGCCGCTCCTCGCGCCGCTGCAGGCGCGCTGCCACATGCCGCTCGTCTTTCTCGAGCTTGGTGGTTCCCGCCGGCCCCTCCTGCTCGCCGGGTCTGGAGTCGCCTGGGGGTGCCCTCTGAGCGGCGCGCTGTTGGCGCTCGTCTTCGACCTCATCATTCGCGGAATCAAGCACGAACTCTCTCGCATTGGGCGTGGCCTCATCAGCGCCTGTGCCGACGACCTAGGTATCATCCTCGCCGCCCTCCGCGACATCGAGCTCCTCTTTCTTCGTCTCCGTGCTGCAGAACTCTTTGCCGGACTGTGGTTGCAGGCCAAGAAGCGCATAATCCTCCCGACTTGGGCGCCCACCGCTCACTCGCTGATCGCGCCCATCCAATCCACGCTCGGCGACATCTACCCACCATGGAAGGACGTCAAGATCGCCAGCTACGCGCGCATCCTGGGTGCGTTCGTCGGCCCCGGTGCCACGCTCTCCCTGCAGTGGAAATCGCCTGCTGGCAAGTGGTGGGGCAGGGCGCCGATTCTCGGAGAAGAACGCTCGCCTTTACACCGAAGCATTCAGCTCTATAACGCCGCCGCCGCCACCTGCCCTTCGCACATTGGACAGCTCTACCCTCCATCGCCATGCTTCTTCGCCTAGGAGATTCACGCGCTACACAAGCTACTGCGAGCTGCTCGCTCCAGCTTCGCGAAATTGGACATCTTCCCCTTTGAGCGCCGGGCGGGCGTGGAGACGCCGCAGGGTCTGGAAGCTCTGCTCTCGGCTACCACGTGGCGCGCTGCCTCTTCCACTCTGACATCGCGGGCGCGCCTACTTCGCGAACGCCGAGCAGTTGCAGAGGATCGTCTTCCTGTCTGCCAAGTCGTTCAAGGACATTGGTGCGCTGACTGCTGGGGAGATAAGCTTTCCATCGCGCCGCGCTTCGAGCAGATCGCCGCGGGCCAGCTCTTCCCGACCTGCAAGGGCTACGTCCACAAGGCCGTGAAGCGCGTGCTTGGTACTCCACAGCGTACTTGTCTTCTCCTGGCTGCCGCCCATCGTCGCGCGGCGGCCGCTGGTCGCCGAGCTCTCATTGACAATGCGCGTCGGCCCGCGCGCGACGCGCCCTCCCACCTTGACGCGATATACAGAGAGGGTCGTGGCAAGGCCCAAGGAACAGGGAAACCTATAGCACGCAAATCGCCGCAGTCCGCCGGATTGTGCGAGCTCCAGGCCGCCAGACAAACTTCGACATTACCATCCCCATGCGCTTGAAAGCCTGGTTCCCGCTCATCGGTGCGCCCCCGTCTGCTCGCTCCAACGACGAAGCCTTCCTCGCCGCGCGACCCGCGCAGACGACCGCCGCGCCCTCGCCGGCGCCCGCCGCCGAGCAGCCCCTCGCCTACACGAGCGAGCGCGCGGAAGTGCGGGCCGCCCGTTGGCTCCTGAGCGCCTACTTAGCCCCCAGCAACGACGACTACCGCGACTGGATGGAGGGGCGCGCCCCCTACCTCGCCATCTGCCTCCGTCGCCCTCAATTCGACGACGTGTTCGACGGCGCCGTCGGCCCCTGGCAAGACGGCGGCCCCCGCCACGCAGTCGCGCCCGAGATTTGCGAGGGTCGCTGGCGCAGCGCGCCCTGCCCCCGCAGTCGTCGCCACTGACTCTACCAGCCTGGCCGCCCGACAGCGGCGGCGCAGCGCGAACGAGACGAAGAAGCTGCTGGGCACCGTGCCCGCCGCCGCTGGCCCACCACCCACGAAGCGCGCGATGAAGACCCCCGGCTTCCTGCAGGCGCCGCCCAGGGCGGCGGCAGCAACCGGGACATCGACGCGCCGGACATCGAAGGGTGGCCTCATTCGCTTGCTGCTGGCTGATCCGCCCTTCGTCGTCATCTCGCACGTGCCCCTCCGTCGCAGTTCTGGCCTGTCCTCGAGACGCTGGCGGGCGCGCGGGCTACGAGCTACCGCGCGCGCGTCGAGCCTTTCAGACACCCGTGCCTCTTCGGCTGCCCGACCATCGAGAGCAAGAAGAACATTGACGACGTCGCGCGCTGCATGCCCGAGGATGCGGAGCCATATCTGCCCTCCTCGCGGACAAGTCTCGCCGAACATCATCGCGCGCCTGGGCCTCGACGGCGAGCGGAGCGATGGCGACGCCATCCCGCGCGCGATCGCCCGCCTGGCCGCGGCCTTCAAGTCCCGCAACTTCCTCCGCGACCAGAACGGTGTGAACCTCGGCCCGGCCTCCATCATTGAGGCCAGGACCCCTGTTCTCCCGCCCTACAACGCCTGCGACATGAATGCGGCAGCCATCGCCGCTGCGCGACGCGCCCTGAGGCCCCCCCCGTGCCTCGCGGGCGGCGCGGGGCCGCGTCGGCCGCTGACGTTCGCTCCCCCCCCTCCTCCTCATCCTCCTCCTCCGTAGCCACTTTGGCTCGAGAGCCGACAGGAGGCAATCTGGTTCTGCTGCTGTCTGCTCTGTTCATTTCCGCTTGCGCTCGCTGTCTTTGCCAGTTGGCTACGAGGCCGACGGCGGCGCTGTATTCTTCTCATGTCCTCGGTGATCAGTTGCTTAGCTGCGCGCATTCGTCTTCTGGAGAAGCGAACGCAATGTGATCTTGACCCACCCTTTCAACATTCTGCAATTCGATGGCGCGCTCTCTTGTGCGACGTGCTCCAACGCAACGCGCGGCATCTGTCGCTCGCCGCGACACTTGCCAGGCCGATTGTTGGGGATCATGTTTATCGCCATTGTCGTCGCCTTTGTCGGCGCGCGGGTCGGGGGCGCCACGTCGTCTTCTGCGAGGAGGCTTGCGCCCCCCATGCTATTGGCAAGGTGACATGTGCCCGTCGATGGCAAAAATTGCGATTACGTTCGGACGCTGATTATTTCCGTCGCTCTGAGAACGCCATCGCCGCGCGCCGCTCGGAGCCCCGCGGCGTCGCCGCGCACGGGCGCGCGGGGACTGGGGGCGGCGCAGAGATGGCGGAGCTCGTGTTCCCCAGGCTGTGCCCCGAGTGCCCTATGGAGTGGGTGGATATGCAGCCTGTGGAGGCTACCATCCCTTGCACATTCTGGGGCACCTGTCCTGACTCTGATCAATGCTGCTTGGGCGGCCGCTCCGGCTTCTGTTCTGCCGCCTTATGTCCCCAGCGTCTGTTCTGAATTGGGATGTTTTTCGATTATCTCGGAGTGGACCGCTGATCATTCGTGGAATTTACTCGAGGACTGTCAGAATTCGACACGGGGCACGCGGCTCTGGTTGCATGCAATCGAACGGAAGTCGGAAAAGCAGTTCTGGGATGCGCGAGCTGGAGGAGATGGTCGCCACTATTGCGCCCAGTAGGGCCTTGAGTCGCTTGCGTGAGCGATCTGACCAGACTCTGCTGGGCCCGGGCGCGCAGATGGCGGAGGCTGCCCAGCTCTTCGATACCAAAACCCAACAGCTCCGTGACGAGGTTGGAGTCCCAGCGCGCGCGCAGTACATTGATTATCGTCTCTGTTGCGTTCCTGACGGTGAGGCTTTGAGACAAACTTATCCTCTGCCGTTGAAACCATCCGCCAGCGCTGCACAATATCGACATCGCGTCCCTCCTCGCGTCTGGGGTGGAGGAGCGCCGCCGCCGCCTCGCCGTGGAGTCGGCCACGGTGAACGCTCTCGTCGTCAACCCCGTCGGAGGCCGCTGTAGAGAAGTGGGTGGGGCGCCCGCTCGCTCGCATGTGGGGCGATTGCCAAAAGCTAGTGGATTCACATTGTGCCAA